TTTGAATCTCAACTCCAAAGCATCTCATAGGAATAGCAAGAATCATGCACGTGTTATTCCCAGGGAGCGGCCGTCCGTGGTGGCCGGCGCCAGTAGCGCCGAAAGCGGCGGTCCGACCAAGTCAGGTTATCCAACTGGGCAGGAATAGGAAAACAGAGCTGGGCAGCGTGGTCCTATTGACGGAAGGCATCTTCAAAGAATTGGCATTGTTTTCCCTCGCCCAGGAGTGGATCTCTTCAATCAGAGCAATGCACATGTGGCAACCGGGCCCAGAAAGTCAGTGGGGGCACCTTTCACAACATGCCTTCCCAGAATTGCTCCACTATGTTTCGGGCTCGAACCATGCCACTCGTAGCGCTCCAGACGACGTTAGAGGAGGTTGGTTTGCTCAGGGATTCGCTTGCGAAGCGTTTGTGAGGTGTTGAGTATGATCAGGTTAGTAATATTTGTGTAGGTATTTGTAGTAGGGAAAACGGCCATTAAAGGTGATCAGGACCCTCCAAGGCATTGTCATGGAGTCTCTATATCACACGCACAAATGTACACACACACACACTATATATAATATTATATAATTCAATTTAAAAGTAACTTCTACAACCATTTTACACAAACATATTTACTTGGGAGTCGAAGTAGTTTACAGCTGTTTACGGTAGTCCGTTGGTGACCTCTTGGGCCCTTGGTATGTTTCTGTTGGGCTTTGGGCTCGTGGCTGGCGCTGCTCGTAAGATCGGCGCATCTTGGTGCTCCAGGGCCGCAGTCGACAGTTGTGCATGATTGAGCCCACCTTGTAAAGAGAATATGTCGGACAGTTCCAACTGGTTGAAGAGGACATTTGATGGAGGAAACCAAGTTGGAGCCACCTGTCCAGCGCACGAAGGATCACAACCTTCTCACGAAGGGATTCAGTGCATCTCGAAGATGTAATGAAGAGAGAGAGAGAGAGAGACAGACACAAGAGACTCCCGTCCATCAACCAGGGGGGTTTGGACATATTCGATGTTAAGGATGTTGAACGTTGTGTTTGGGGTTAGGTTTTGTTGGTCTTTGGCGCTTTTGGATGCTTTTGGTTGGTTTGAGCTGTTGCTCGTGCTTCTGCCTGGGGTGCGGTGTAGTGAGGTTTGTAGGTGGGGTGGGCTTGTACAGTGTAGCGTTACTGTTTGGTATGTTGCCGCAATGGTTCTTGTCCGCACACGGGTTTGTGGTTTGCGCCTTGAAATCATTTACTGTTCCTGGCGATGGCGTCTCGAGACAGCTGGGGGTGTTGGGCTTTGTAAACAGCTATATAAAATCTAGAATGCCACGAGGAATTGCATTTGTTGACTTGCACAGTGCTTTAAAATACTTTGAGCAACTCGTAGCCCTTTGTTCTTCTTGGCGGAGCTTTTCGTCATAATACTCGTCATAATATGGTTCTGCATGTATCATGTTTGATGTCTCCCCATAATTTCGTTAACTTACTGACGGTTCAAATTTTCTCGGACGTCGATATTTGTTGAAAGTATGTCAACCTCCCCCAGAACTTTTAAATATTGAATGCTATCCCTACCTCAAACATTCTAAGATCCCCCTGATGGACTTGTCATCATTTTCCGATCGATGCAGTTTGTCCTATTTCAAACTAAGGTTGTCACTTATTTGCCTCGCAACTGCCTTGGTCACTTTCAATCGACGGGATAGAAGGGACTCCTAGCCCTAGTGGGCTTGCAGCTGATTGGGCTTCCACCCCACAAAATTCCATGAAGCCCCTACTCCCTGGTATGCTTTACCGCCTCCCGGACTCCAGGGCTCCTCATGCCTGCCCTGCAGTGCGCCTGATGACCTGGTTTCACACAGATGTGCTTTTACATCTTCTTTCATCAGCACGTATTCTTTCATCTTCTTTCCTTTTCTTTGGGCCACTTTGGGGTTCTCTCGCTCGTTGAGGCACACCGATACTGTGTCATTGAGGATCCAAATGCGAGTGCATAGCCAGCCCCTCCCGGACTGTCCCTCACTATCTCACTGCATGGCTAGCAGCGATTCCCACACAGGTACGAGCAGAGAGCGGCCTTTGGCCCCAGAACTGGTCGCCAAGGGTTGCGAGGTCGACAGCAACCCTGGGGAAGAGATTCCAGTGCTCTATGAAAAGACGCCAAGCAATCAAGAAGTCCCATGACGTCACACTATTTACTATTTGTTTCAGGTTGGTTTAGGGGATGTTGCTAGCAGCTAGTCGAATGTGCTGTTGAAATTCAGCGAGGAGAGCTGGCTGTAGAGAGCAGGGCACAAGCCACCGAACTGAATGGCGATATATACTTCCTCAAGCTTCCGTGGTTGCTCAATCAACCCTGGATCAAGCTTTGAGCCAGAAATCGTTTGGTGGAGACTGCTGCACTTCAAAGAGGGGTGTCCCGAAGAATCTGCAGTTTCATCCTGGGGTTAGTCAGTGGTTTGGGTCAAAGCTGCCCCGCTGTGTATGTACCGTAATTCTCCTGCCAGTGTTGACCGTCCCATGCTGAGGTTCATGTCAAGGCCACCGTGGACGCCGGACCCCCCAAGGACGGCGGCGAATGGGCGCCGTGGAAACTTCCGTGGAATTTGGAGTGAGTTTTGTGACATGCTGCACAGTTTCAATCAACAAGAATGAGTTGAGTTGATGAAAAAATATCCACAAATTGAGTTCCACAGCTTCACACAATGACCATGACTCATTGACAGTCCATGTTGCTCGCTCATTGTGCGAAAACTCGGTCCGGAGAGCTAGGCCGCATCGCGACCTCGACCAAGAGCACCGGCCTCGCGGGTGGCTGGCCTCAGTGGAAGGGTTCAGTCCCTGTTGGTCAAAGCAGCGTCCCTTTGGGCTCGACATGGGCCTCGAGGGAATGGCCTCGCGCCATGTGGCAAAATGCATCAGTTTTGATATATGGGAGTCTTTGCGATGGATCTTTCATGATCTTTCGCTGTGGAGTTCCTCATTCCCAGCGAGCCAGGCTCGAAAAGAAGCCCAGGCGTGGAAGAATTTGACTCATCCGTGGATGGGGAGGGTTGACAGGAGCAGGAATGACAAGTTACATCCAGAGATGAGTGACTGGGACTTAGGGACCAGCAAATGAGCAAGGGATGGCTTTTTTTGGGCTTGAGCAAAGGACCCAATCCAAGTGGTTGGAGTGCCAGCCAGATAGACTAGCTTTGATGATGTCAGACTAGCTTTGACGATGTCACGCGAAGAGAAATGTGGTCTTCCAATCCGTCAGCCGCCATACTTGTACCATTTCTGCCTCGGCCAAACCATTTCTGGAGAACTTTCTATATTCTTATCGCATCTATATTGCTTATAACGTTTTACTTGCCACAGCAGCTTGTCGGATCTTAAGCCTGGACCAGGTTCCCCATTGGTCGAAAACACCAGGCTTCTCCGGGCTTCTCCGTGCGAACGGACAGCCGCCTGCCAAGGCCGAGGCGGCTGTGAGCGACCTGCGGATGATCGAGAACATCGCACGGGAGATGGCACGGGGCCCTCCCGAGAAGTGGCGTTTTTTCACAGCTTTTTATGGATGAGATGGTCAGTGATGATGGTATGAATTTAGCTACATTGAGCTTATTGCTAGACTAGACTATATTAGACTAATAATTGCACAAGGTTGGTGTTGTACCTGTCTTCTGTGGCGGATGATGTGAAGCTCGAGCCGCTTCTCCGGTGTCGGCCGCCGTTTTGAGGCACGTCCACCCTCCCTCTCGGTGCTTGAGCGGAAAGGGCCAATGAGCAGGGCGGCCCGAAGTGCATTTGAGACGTCAGGATGAAGCTGGGAGTGCATCCAGTGGGAATGCCCAAAAAGGATCAACGAAAGTCTCTAGACTCTACAGGGTGAGATTGGGCCTGACGAGTGAACTGGCCCATGTTGCAGCAGTCGTTCCTGGAATTGACACGGATCATCATGGGCCTGGGCCTATGTCGACTTGGTTGACGTGCAACAAAAGTCAGGCCTCCATCTGCCCAAACAGATAATCAGTGCACGCTGCGAAATAAATGATCGAAATCACCGTGAGAGGAACGCCCACGCTGCAGTTGAAGGCACTTAACGCCCCATGCTTCACACGTGTACCTGGAAGAACGGAGCATGTGTCCTTGTCCGGTGTCACGTTTCGATGCGCGCTGTTTTTGGGGCGCTTTTAGAACGTTCGGCCGCGGGGCTTTGCAAGGCGGGGATGTTGTTTTCGAGTCTCCGGAGGGTTGGTCAGTGCAGGGATTCAATTGATGGGTGCAGGTAGCCCGGGGCCTGGGACTGTCCACCCCAAAATATAGATCCGAGCAGCTCGAGCAAAACAACACAGCATCATGAACTGTGGATGCAACCCTCCTTTGGCAACTTTGGCACTTATAAATATATTACATATATAATATATAAGACATAGTATAAGACATAATTACTGTACATATACATGGCCTCCCCCAATGTGGAGAACGTTCCCTGCAGCTACTTTGCACATGTTGCACAAGATGTCGCGAGCCCTGCTGCAAATCATGACATTTTTGGGCAGACCCCTGTCTTCCAACCAATTGACAATACTGAGCCACCCGAGTCTGGTGTGGGGGTTAACAGGTTTGTTTTTTATCCGAGATGATACAAGTGACCTGGTGATTTGGTCCTAAGTGCTTAGGCAAGTGAGGTCAGCACTGGACTTCTTTGACAGAGGCGAAGGTCCCTTTGATTCCTTTGGGATTTTGCAGTGGATCTAAGATCACCCTTTTAGATGCCAGGGAGTGGAGAGTGTTTTGCTGGTTGCTCCCGGAAACAACGTGACCAATCTTTAGAGAATATGAGCAGATGTCGCCTGCCAGTTCGTCTTGATCCTTAACCTGGGTGGGAAGCTGGAAGTGAACAGAACCTCTCATGATTTCAACCTATACTTGTAGATCTTGTAGCCTGCTTGGAAGCTAGAGTCTTTTCAAGAGAAGAGGAGCAGAAGCATTACCCCAAAAGCATGTGGTGCAATTGTCACACTCCAGGGCGGCCATGGCTCGTGTGGGCGTGCCTTTGTGGAGCACAGATTGGGGTTCGAGCTCGGGTGGAGTGCCGGACAGGGACACCGAAGCACACCGGAGCTAAGTCAAACTGGGTGGATCTTAATAAGCAAAGATGGTTTAAGAAAGGAGCCTCAAAAGCCTCCATCCAAACCTCTCGATGTGGGATGGTCATGATGGGCCGACGGTGGCCCGAACAGCTTGATGATGCTCGATGTGTTCAGCGATGTCTCGCCACAGTGATTGGGATCCCGGAGTCTTTGAGATGCACCTTTTTGGGGGTAGAGTAGGGAGGTGGCCTTTGGGGTGTCACCAATTGACTGGCTGAGATATGGCCTTTGCATCTCAAGATGCTCAGGTTGCAAACTATAGCCACTCCACTGCAACACCAGTGCTGCAAGACAAGTACTGGAGAGAAGGTGGGTGGAGTTCTCTGGCTTTTCTTGTAGGAGCTTCATCGCTTCGTGAAATATGTCCGATGTGAAGGATATGGAAGATATATAGATATATAAATAGATATAATATATATTTATATAGTTGATAAAGCAACAACATACGACTGGATTCGATCCAAATAATTAGTGGCATCATGTGGCATCTAATTATTGACTGAATGACTTGCCAAATGCCCAGATTCCTCGTTTGCAGTCTTTGTGGCCTGAACAGGTGTCCGTGAAATGGCAGCTCGGGACATGGTCCGGGACCGACTCGGAGGTCATTGGTTCATAGGTTCCTGTTCAGGATGTGATCCACCACCCTGATGCTCATATCGACCAAAGGCCCCACCCTGATGTGGAGGCCCGCGCGACTCGGGTCGAGCGAGCCAAGTGAAGTGGCAGGTCTCGAGCGGGCCCAGCGGGACCATGCCTTCAGCGTGCTCAACGAGCCCTTTCCGAAGGCCGCCTGCGGAGAGCTTTTAGGTGTCGGGTGTCGGTGGTGGCTTGGTGTGGGTGGATTTCACAGGCAAAACATGTGGTTGAGCCTGATATGTAAGAATTTGATAGAATTTGCCAGTGTTTTTTGGCACCATCCTTAAGCCTAGAGGCAACTGCCGGTTTCTTGGCGTGTTTGCAGCACATCACTGAGGCATTCAATTCGAACCATAAGTTGGCGAGTTCTTTTCCGTCTCAGCCGCTTGTGGGTTCCGTGTGATACCACCCGTGGGGCTTCACCGCGGCTGCCCATTTAAGCAAAAGATAGACTCCCTTCAACTGTCGGACCTCCTCCCCTCGAGGCCAGCTACGCCTACATCAACACCACCTCCAATGACTTTCTGGGCCGGACATGGCAGGCTCGGCAGTTCGTCCCCAACGCATGACAGGCCGTGAGGTGGTTGCAGCACCTCCACACTCGCAGGGTGTGGAGCGCATGGTCACAAACGCCTCATGGTCAGACTTACGAGGTCATTGGTCAATGATCAGGGAACGCCACGAACACTAAGGAATCAACAGTCCCGAAGCCATCAAGCAGCCCCATTCTGAATCGCACACAGCGTCCCTGTAGGAATATCATGTTCGGGGTTGCGCATCCTCTGAATGGCCGGTGCAACCGGGACGCACGGTATACATTTATGTGCTGTTAACATTTCAATCTGTCATTGTTGAATTGCAATCCGGACGAGCATAGGTGCCCCCAAAAGAAGAGCACTAAAAGCACATCCGAATCATCCGATGCGCACGGTCGAAGCACCGCCGGCTGAGTATGACTTGCAGGTGTTACACCATACCACCAGCACCGCGGCTGGGAAGTGCCTTGGCACTTTCTTTTTTTAAGTTCACACGCTGGAAGATGTATAACGGTGTGGCATATATATATATATATATGTATATTGTATACAACCAGTGGGATGCTGTTGGTCAAATTTTGTTCTTCTAGCGTACGGTTGATGAGTCCTAGCTGGATGTGGATCAAACTGCGTTGAACCATTGCTTGCTACATCGGCTCATCGTGGCTCTGGCCCAACCAGACCAGATCGCACGCCACAGTCTTTGACCCCTGCCGGATCAAAGCTTGTTCGAAGGAGTTTGAATGTTGAATGCCAGAAGTGGGCATGGTCAACTAGTGGCACTTTTGAGCTTACACAGGTGCAGCTTCCATAACAATGTGGCCAAGCCCATGTCGACAGTGGTCAAGGCAGGGTTTGGCTGCTTCATCCTTTCCTTTGCCCAACTTTTGTTGAATCTCTAGCATGGTCACCCCACTGGAATGTCCTTTGGTGGTAAGATAGACCCAGCATCATGTCCCAGCTTAGGCCGGTGAACCTTCAAAGGAACTTTCCCTCAGACCTCACCACAGCCCATCCCAAATGTTGATTTTCTTCCTTTCTTTTGGTGTTGATGGTTCTTCAATGAACCTCTGGATACGTTTCGTTTTTTTTTTTCCATTGGTTTTCGCCACCGGTCATTGACACCCTTTGTGTGGCGGAGCGCCCGGTCGTGACTGGGGGCCCGGCGACTGCGGGCAGGCGAATAGTGCGAGCATGTCCCTCGAACCACGGCCGAAGAGTGGTGCCCAAGGGCAGGCCAAGGGGGATGAAGGGTTTGGGTGTTTGTGGCGCTCCCTGGGGTGCTTGTGGGGTTACTTTTAGTAATTTAGTAGTCTGCATGAATCTGTGATATTTGTGGAGCTGCTGTACTCATGTTACACCGGTTCTCGTGCACGTGCCGAGTCGTGCCGTCACACGCTTTGATGAAAGACATAACACTTTGACTCTTAGGCAAGCTGCTCGACCTTCTTTATAAACGGTCAATGAAAAGCGCTTTGCGTGCCTGGTTAACCTGGTTGACCTCCCCAAAAATAAGCAGCTGCTAGTAGCTGCTAGTATGGATTGGGACAATGAGATACAATGAGATGATCTATATATACAAATGTTGGACTGTTCGACCCATGTCAAGGTTGGAGGTGATAGTGCCGCGGCCACTTGTTTTGGTTTTCCCTGGTTGCCCGGTTCCTTCCTTTTGTCAGCTCTCCTGGCAATTTGAGATTCCATGTGGTAGCCATCTCGGAATAGATATATACACAACTCGACGAGTCTTTCAAAAGTTCCCTTTACAGGCTAGTGATTCTCCGTCATGTTGGCATTCCGTCGAACGCCAGATGACTACTCCGCAGTGGCTGGTGGAGCCGGGGTACCCCGAGCCAGCGCGTAGCACGCGTAGCCGAGTGAGGAGCCCCAGGCCGATGGTAAATGGAAGGAGCTGCAGAGACTTGTGGACATCGCTTTATCTCGATATGTGCTTATGGGATGGCATGGGTCAAGACTTTTTGCAGTGTGGTAGAGACAACATCAGATAACGCCAAGAAAGCTACGACTTCGTGCCCCTGCAAAACACCAGTGTGGGATGCCTTGAAGCGGATGTGCTTTTCGCACCTTTCAGCCTGCATGCGTGGTGCCCTCTGCAAGTGCCAAGCGGGCCTGAGGCCAGTTCAAGGGGGCGTAGTTCAACTGCAGCCTCGGCGCTCGGTTTTTTGCTCGGTTTTTGAAGCCTAGCAGCCGCTTGATCCCAGTGGTCCCCATGGACGACATGTTCTAGAATCTCAAGAACTGGTCGTTTGAAAGGTCCATCAAGAGTTGCAGGTCCCAAACACGGATTTATGGCAAGGGCCTGAGCCCTTGCTCACGGACCAAAGATGGCCCAAGGCCTTGCGCCGGTCTGGTTGCACGTGCGGTCCGTGTTGCGTGGTGTCGCATTTGTCCAGCACAGAAGCAGTGATTTGAAGAGTTGATGACGCATATCCCACGGGTGCAGTCTCCTTGATCGCAAAATGGATGGATCGAAAGTGAGCCGTATTTGGAAAAAAGATTGGAGGTTCAGTGAACAATTTGATGGCCAAGGTAGCAGCACAGGGTGTGCTGCAGAACCAGATGTCTGCACCAACACTGCGCTTGGAGGACAGTACGTGCATGCGCAGGGCATTGGCCGCCAAGACAGCTGTGGGGAAAGTCAGTTATAAAAGGAGACCCGGATGTTTTTCATTGATTTATGTCATTTTACGTCAGTTTGGATCTTCCTACGTATACTGAACCCCTCCAACTGAAGTTAGCTCTGGTGGACAAGCAAGGTCACGTGCAGATACTTGTCCGGTGGATCCGTGTGTTGCCTCGAGATCACATATTTGTATACAACTGTTTCCCCTGTTTTTTTTTCCAATGATGTTCTGTTTGAGTGTTTAATGAAACTTCGTCCAGATCTGGTCTTGTGGAATCTGACTCGGACATGTCACTCTTTTCATTGGACAGTCTTCATGCTTTGTCTCCTTATTGGAGATCTGAGATGGAAGAATTCACTTTAACGATTCGACACAGCGAAAGTAGCGATGCCGCAAGCAATCGAGCCTCATATACCCTTCCCACGCCGCGCCTGTGTGTATGTGGCATCTTAAAGAAGCACCTCCAAACAAACTTACATGTCAGTGCCTTCCCACCCAACCCGAAAACACCATCATCTTCACATGTGTGTGTATCTCTCTCTCTCTCTTTATGTGTATATATAAAGGCCTCACCTTAGCACCAAAGATACGCAACCGCATCTTGGGATGGGACCAGAATCTTGCAATTGCAAGGGCTTCTCATTTTTGAGGTATATAGACTAGATGATTCATGGTGATTCAATCTGATTCATCATGTCCCAACAGACTCCTTGTCTGACAATTACGCAATGTGGACATTGAACATCCTTTCCCAAACTATGATGGCCTAACATAGCTTGGCAGAGGAAGATCTGAAGATCATCTTCTCAAATTCATTATGTTCATTTTCTCTCAGAGTGACGGAGTGACGATGCTTTTGCTTCGCCCCTCCCCTTCCCCCTCCCCTCCGACCTCACCTCAGGACGACGCGAGGTCGGTCCGCTCCGGTGCCTCGAGCCGGCGCTCGTTCCGCAGCCAGGTGAGGTCGGTCCGGTGCGTCGGTCAGGTGAGGTTCGGTGACGGCCGGGGCCGATCCTCGTGGCACGGGCCAGGTGCAATGAGAGTGACCAGTGATGCCTCAGAGTTGACCTACCTTTGCGCAGTTCAACTAAGCGAGTTGATGTGCTTTAACTTGCTGGACGTTCTGGAGAAAGACCTGCAAGACATGCAAGAAGTTGTAAAGGCAACAAGGCCGTTCAGGAGAAGATAGGAGACGTATTGTAGTTGGTTGAAAGAAGTGCAACGAACTCTGAGACCTTTGGGGTCGAACCGCTGTTTCATGAAGTGTCACCTCTATCCAAGCCAGCTCCGGAAATGGAGGTCTCCACATGCGAGCGCTCACATGTTTCTTTTGAGTTCCACCCTTTACGGCATGCTTTCCACCTGCATGGGCATGAGAACTATGGCACAACAATGGCTGAGTTTATAGCTCCATGTGTACAATATAGCCCTGTTGAACTTCTTTGTTTTTGAGCCACTAGTACTGCCATCAGCCATCTAACAGCTTCCAACCCTACCTCCGGACGTTTGTGCTGGTCCCAGCTGGGACTGTCTCACACGCCATGTGCAATCTCGCGCTAACCGCGAACCTTGCGGCGAAAGCATGGCGGAAAATGATGACGTTCCGTTGGTGGAGGGACGTGATTTCTGAAGCTCTCCACCCGAACAGATCCACTTCGTAGAGGAAAGTCACCTTCCGGAGGTCCATGTTCCGCTTCCAATCATTGGAGGGATTTCACCCGGCGCATGTGAAGCTGCAATCTTGAACGTTGGATGGAGTAGCACACCTTTTTGCCCTCAGGGGGGTGTAAGAGGTTTGATGCCCAAGATGGTCCCCATGAGCCCTGCCAAAAAGAAGGCAGAGCAAATTTAAGCAAGAGGAGGGAATGTCCTTCGACCAACAGGGCCATGCTCCACCTCGCCGGGCCCCCGCTTCGACACAAACCCGCCATGTCCGAGGTCTGAACACGAATCAGCGCCGAAAGGAGCCGACGCCTTGGGGGGGACCGTGTTGGACCAGACACATCGATCGGACAGTCCAACTTTTGGTGAATCCTTCTCGGTGAGACGAAAACGACGGTCCGAGAAAAATCCGTGGCATCCCTTGCGAAGTCCGAGGCTCCAACGGATCGATCATGAAAATCAAAAGCTCCTAAAGCGCTTGGAGAACCAAAAGCCGGGTGGCCGAGCGTGTATGTTTGAGCCGAAGGACATTTCATAATTAGTCGCTCCCCTCCGATGAATACATCACATGGAAGTGGAATGTCCATTTGTTGGTAGACGAGTGGCTTCATGAGGCTTCCCACAAATCATGCCATTCGCTTCGATGTTTTCGCACCTTCAACTACTCTAGGCCCCCTGAAAGTTGCAGATGGGGACTGGGGACCGAGTGTTATTAGAGTTTTTATGGCCTTGCTTCGAGCGATCCCCACGGAGCGAGTGAGACATGGATTGCTGAGAGGTGGTGATCGGTGGTACGGCGAACGGTTTCTCGGCGAACGTAGAGAGGAGGTGTCGAAGGGGATCATTTGGCGGGAGTGTATGCAGTGGAAACAACAACGGCACAAGCCCACGTTTGCTCGTGAGAGTGTAGATCGCTACAACTGGGTTTTGTGCCGTGTCTTCTGAAGCGACTGTCCCTGCCGCCATGGCCATAAGAGGGTTGCCGGGGGGCCTGTTCTCCTGAGGCGGTGCCCAGTCAATGTGTTCAATTCGTTTCCCGAAGATCTGCAGGTGAACACATATCAGGGGCCACCCTTCCTTTGCCTCCAGCATTCCTCAACACCATTCATCAACGTCAGTTTGGGAGGTCTTCCTATGCGCAGCGGGACCAGAAACGATCCTATGATGAGAGCCGACGCCACGCCGCGCTGGCGCGTGCCCTTTGGCCGGAAGAGACTCGGGAGGGGTGGAGATGGAGATTGATTAAGGTGGCACTAATTAAGGACACATCATCATCGTCATCATGGTTTAGGCAAGGAGGTCCCGTTGAATGGCCTTTGTGCGACCATTCCTGCACAGACTGTTAATTAATTCAGAGAACAGATCAAGATGAGAGGTGCTCGGGATGATCGCCCTCGAGTTCTGCGTTTGGAACACAAGCCCAACCTGCACGAAGTCCTGCGCGACTATTCTCAATCAAGTGAAGCGTCACCAGAAAAGGTAGATTAGTGTGGGTAGGCCCAAACTTGGACACATGTAGTTATAAGCTGTCCCGCCTTTGGTTTTGCTTTATTATGTTCACGTTCCCAGCAGCTTGAAGCTTTTCCTCCTTTCTTGAGGCCCGGCCACGTGCCCTGCCGCCCCGCGCCAACCGCAGTGCGCCAGAGCGAATGCAGGCCTTCAATCTACGGTTTGGAACGGGGTGCAGCCAGTATGCGATCTCTGGAAAGGAGTTGCCTCGATCAGAGGTGAAAGCGGGTGAAGTGTCTTGAAGCAATGTCTCATTGAGAGCAACACTGCGGGAAAAGGCGATCGTTGCCAGGCCTTGCCGGTCTCGCCGAACAGCTCCACGGTGCAGGTGCCCCTCACATGGACTGAGATGAGTGACGCAGAGTGAACCCGACACAACAGGGAACGGGCCGAACATGTCAGAACATTGTTAATGATCAGAATCAATATGGGGAAATGATCTATATATATATAGTTATATAGATTCGTAGATCACTTTGCCATAAACACACCACGTCCATCCACAAGTTTGGCTACATCTTTTCACCGGAGAGAATCCCCGCCGTCGTGCCCGGAAGAGTGGGTTAGGACCCACGAATGTTGGCTGTTGATGACTAACATCGCTTATTTATGGAGATGATGGAGCTACTAATTAATATAGTGGCTTCTTGTTACTAGTAGCGATGCCCTTTTTTACTAGTAGCTTCTTGCTACTAGTAGAAACGCCAGGAGCTACTATGAGCTACTATATAGTAGCTTCTTGTTACTAGAGATGTTGCAGTTTAATGCATTTGACAAATCTCTGGCAGGTTTATCACGGTCTATCCTTTTCTGTCAGCCATATTAATCATTTGTGATGCAGCGCTCGTTGGGATTCTTTGTTGAGGTCATCCAGCAGGTGTTAATTAAATATATTCGATTCGTGACTTCCAGATCTTCCAGCAGTAGGACCTCATGGGGAACTCACCCATGACGTACAAAAATCACACTCTCCGAGTCATTGACATGGAAGCGGAAAACCACCTGTTTGTTTATGAACCCCAACATGGTTTTCGAGGGGCCTATGGTCCACTTCCACGATTATTTCAGGGAGTGTTGTACATGTTTCCTGCAATCCTTTTTTGGATCTCATCGTTTCTACTTGCTACACACCAACCCAAGAGCAACCTGTGTGTGCTGTCTCGCGGCCGGCACCGTGTGAGGCCTCACAGGCAGGTGCCTTGCAAGCAGCGCCCAGCCGGCCTGGGGGCGGAGATTGTAGCACACCAGGCGGAGATATGATGCGTACGAATTGTAGCAGCGCCCAGCCCTGGAAACCGCGGTATTGATCCAGCCTAAGAATATACAGTAAATGGTTGGAGTTGCAAGGTTTGCAACACCAAAAGGTTGAGTTCCACGACGTTCAAACGTTTCACAGTCTCAAGCGTGACGAAGCGTACTACTAGCCCTTTAATGGAGCACGCCTCACGGAACCTCGAAACAGCCTTCAAGACTCTAGGGTGGATCGTAGTTACAGTGAACTCCACAAATTGCAGGTACACCAGGTTGAACAGAACTGGCTTACACCATCAGCTTTGTTAGCATGCGTTTGCGTGATGGCCACATGCCCCCTCCATTCTGAAGAAAAGGTGACAAAAACAAAAACAACAGCCAAAAGGCTTCCTATGATCCCAAGGGCTACAAAGGTTGCAATCAAACACGCCACCTGAATCCACCCGATAAGGGGGCGGTTGAAGGAACAGTGTGCGCGTAGTGTCGCAGAAGGAGGACAGAAACAGGTGCGCAATGTAGGTGGAGGTGATGAAGAAGGAACCAAATGACCAGGGAAAAGCGATGAGCCAGGGCACCTAAGACACTTTCAGTGTAGCTGAGCACAATTGTGCAGTATACACTAGGGTCCCAACAGATGTGCACGCGAAAGAAGGAAAGCTGATGAAGACTGACTAGACGTGAAGAGACGGGAATGACATGAAAAGAAAGCAGGAAAGTGCGTGAAGACAGAGGAAACGTAAACTAGATGGAAGGGTCTTCCAAGTGGGGCGTTGCAATGGCATTCCGTTTTCTGTGCAATCCGTGCAAGGTTTGTGGGAGTGCAATAATCATTTGGCACCCTTTAGGTGACACAGGCTTTTTCGGGGCAATATTCTGCAGCATTTGGGGCACTGTACTGCATGCCAGTTGGAGAGACTACGTTTCCTTCGTCTTGATGGCCATCACGCGTGGGGTGGCATTCTTTGATCTCTCCTCATATCTTGGCTGAGGTTGAGGGACAGCACAGCGAACTCATCGGAGGAATCTACTTTGAAAGGCCGTGTTCCAATGTGCCCGAGACGAAGCTGCAGGACATGAACACGATGATACATTGAGAATCAAAGAGAATCAGGAAATCATATCGATACATCAATCATACGAAGTGAGAACCCTTCTCTTGCGCTATTTCATTTCTTTCTGCTTTGCAGGCAGATCGAGCCAGCCCAACACGGGCGCCGTTTGCCAAAATCATGAGGAACGCTCTTCTCAAGGCATGCAACCCAGAAAAGAGGTTGAACATTTCCGGGTAAAGCCCAAACTGACGGCCAGTGTACGTTTTAGATACACAGTTGGGAAGCACGGTTAGAATATGGGTTAGATGATCCAGATGATCAGAGTATATATTTAATATCAGAAGCATTCAGCATCATTTACTTCTTCTTGGCATTTCTGTGATGTTCCAAATCTTCCCCCCCCTCTCTCTCTCTCTCCCTCTTTGCATCACACGCGCGATCATTCACCATTTCGAGTTTCTTCTTCGCAGGTGCGGTCGTCCGGCCTGAAGAATGTCTAGAGGACCGAGGGTGGTTCGAGGTGACTGCACCATGGTGAGCAGGTTTACCATGGATCATGCTCAGAAATTTCCTGACTTGGCAGAGGCCCCAAGTCATCCGAAGGGAGTTAGAGAGGAACCCCTCCAACTCCCTGAAAAACGGTTTTCTCTACACACACATGGTTTTGTTCAGCTATGGATGTCTAATGTCCAGTAACCCAGCCTTCCAGCACAGGAATCAGGACTTTTTTGCTATTGGCATTTGCGCCCTTTTTCTGGCCTGTGCTTCTGTAGTATCGACGGTGATGGATATACTGAGGGCAGTACTGAGGGTTAGGGCCAGGGGTCAGAGATACGCTGAAATTAGAGAATCCCGAGTCATCAAGGAATGGGAACCTGGTAGAAAGCACGAGTGTCCTAAGTCATCAGCCTAAATACTACAAATTACCGTAGGACTTTTGGAGCAAGTTTATAAGGAAAAACCAACGACCATGAAAAATAAACATTCAGGAGAATGACCAAGGGGGTAAACATGCTTTTTCACCATGCACATGACTCAGGAGTGGGCCATCCCAACCCTGCATGTCACTAGACCCATATTTTGTAAGTCACCAGGCCCTAGCATATCCAAAGTCTACTCAAGTCTATCCCAGTCCCACTCAGGGCTGGTCACACCATGGACATATGGGGTTGGAAGGAATCTGACTTGACAACTTGACAACGTATCATCATCTAAGAAACATCCATTGCACGTCCAGAGACCCGAGAAGTGATGGGATATGCCATCGGCGGGTTCCTTTTCGAAGTCCTCCATCGATGGACAAGCTGGCACCCGCAAGATCCCGCAAGCTTAGTGATAGTGTTCTCTCCTCATGCATGTGTTGGGATATGTTGGGATGGTACAGCAAAACAAGCACATTCGAAAGAGCCATACCATAGTAATTGCTCATAAATAACTATGTACTATTCAATTACTGACATGTCCCAAGCCGGGCAACCGGTCAACTCACTTCAGGATGCAGCAGAGTCCATGTGTGAGGCGGGACGAGCCATGGTTCGGAGCACGGTGGGGATGAACCAATAGCGGCAAACTAGTATCTAAGAGGAGACGGTCTATGAGTCTATGAAGTTTCAAGCACATCGTATGCTTTAGTGCAACAAAGGTGTTTCGTCACCCTCTGCCTCATCAGTTTTCTCCCTATAGCCGCTGGGATGTGGCTATATGGTGATTTCAGTTGATGGGAAGTCCGATGAGAATGGATACGGAACATGTGGTTGCTGATCAGGTTGACTGATTTGGTTGGCAAGGACACTGGAGGTTGAGCTATGACAATTCCAAGTGAGTTGCTTTTTGAATGCTAGGGAGTGGAGACTGGACATCTACCTGTTCGGCCATCACTGCTCAATGGCATGCCGACGGGCTCAAGACCACAGCAACTTGTGGCCCAACATTTTGATACCGAATCCATGGATGCGAAGCCGAGATGAAACTCCTCAGCTTCGTTTCCTTAGTTTCTTGCGGGCTCCTCCTGCCATGCTTCGGCTTGGAACTCCGTGTCAACGCGACGGGAACGTCCATTACGGCCAGTCGCAGTCAGCAAGCGCAGCTAGTAGGGCAGTCGTGGCATCGGCATTCAGTCAATTGGCATTCAGTCAACAAAAGCTTTGGGTCACTACTCTCTCCCAAGAAACATGGAAATTCAGAATTGAAATAAACCTTTTTGTATGCATTTCACTGCAAGAAAGCCCTTGTGGGGATGTTATTGTAGCCTTGTTGATTTTTGGTGCCATTATGCTGGTGTGATGCAAACTCGGACTTTGTTACAGACTTCCAATTCCATAAGCTTGATAGTGACATCCAGCCAGTCAAAACTATGCCATGGTAAATGTATGTAAAAGGTTGTTTCTCAGTGAAGTGCTTGGAGCTATCGTTCTCAAGCCCAAGCCGACTCCACAGAACCGCACGTGAGAGTTTACTCACACAAGCAAGTCACGAAGGACACCCGTATCAATGAATCAACAATCTTTCCTGCAATTTGCAAGCGTTCCAAGCCTACTTAGGACCTGATGAACGTAGACAGAAGTATACATACTTGATCATACTTGTAATCCGATCACGCCATTTTTTGAACACTGCAAAGCTGAAACAGAATTGTGGGGGTTTCTCTACTCAACCACAAACCATGGGAGGAAAATCTGCGGTTCCGCACCACAGCTTAGATGCCGATCGTCCAAGGTTAACTTGTCCTGGGTTGGCCCCTTCTTGGTCTCCCGGAGAATGCCGCGCTGGGAGCGCAACGAGGAGATGCGGAGCATGAAGGAGACGGGGACGGGAGATGTGTTGTCTTTGGGAAATGGAAGATTCGCCCTAGACTTGGTGTAAGGATGTGTACGGGAATATTTAGAGAAAACCCGTGATAACTCCAAATGTTTGCTTTTACCAATTCTGGGATGATCAGGGAAATGATCCAAGCAAAGAGGCGTGGGTGGTGAAGCGTAAGCAGAAGAGGAAAGGACATCACCTCAAAACGTGCATTGGAAGTCCTTTCTGCATATCATTGTACATCTAAGTTTCAGTCAATCGTGTGACCTTAGGAGGAGAGAAATGAATCGGATTTAGTCTGCAGTATGGCGGAATCGAAGTACATCAAAAGCGGTGACTCAGATGTTTTTCCACAAGACGTTGGGGGTGCAGGAGATGTTTCTGTGAGAGAGCAATCGCGTTTGTTGGCCGCTCAGCTGTCCAGGAAGAGATGAGTGGTTTCTTTGCATCGGCAAGAGTTGCTGCTAAGCAGCAAGTCGCTGTTGGCGCGTTTGACAGAATCACCCCTGGGGGGCCCGATCAATCGATCTTGCGTGACAGCGTGCAAGCAGGAAAGCGGAAAGTTTGTTCATGTAGGCGAACCACAAGACACAAGGAACATCCACAGTTTGAAGGCATGTCTCCCACCAAAAGAGGAAGCAGACAGATGCAGATCCCTGTGCAGGGTGACACCAGTGGATGGAGGTCACAACCAAGCTCTAACTTGGGTTTGGGATGGAGAAGACATCGTGGGTTCGAGAAATTGGGATGCCCCCAAGCTCTTGCATTCACTGACCAGTCCAGCACTTGAGCAACAAAAGCGAGGCATCCTTCGCTTCCTTCATGCTCTTTTTCATGTTCTTGGTGGCCGCCAGCATGCTTCTCCATTATCGGGAGAGCAGCTACTGGTGGCAGCACATCTTCTCCATGTCCTTCTGGCTCCTGATTACCATCGCACCTTGGAAAGAGGCCAGAGCCTTTGCAGAGAAGTTCTAGTTCCACCCCTTTCCATGTCACGACATCGCTTCGTTGATTTCACAATGTTTGAACTACATATTGTTTAGACCGACACTGCGTTCTGTGGTTTCCGCTGGGCAAGGTATTTATGGGCACCGTTGGTGCACAAGAAGGATCTGAAGCCATGGGAGAATTTATCTCCGGATACTTGACCGAGCTGGCTTTGACCTTTGAAAACGCGTCTCAGCGGTCAAGAGAGAGAGAGAGAGAGAGAGAGTGAGAGAGAACCAAAGCGGCCGTGTCATGACAAAAGCTTGGACTGTCTATTCATCAAGCCGTGCACCTTTGACTGCTGTGAGGTGTTCATCTACGAGATGATCTTGGTGTCTTTCCGTGTGCCGCGGAAAGTGGCACGGGACATGCTCTTCATCGTCTCCTTTTTCCAGATGTTCTTTCAGCTTTGGCTTTTCATGTTCATGGCGAAAGCACTGAAGCAAATCGAGAGCTTGCCATACCTCGTTGGTGCTACATGAGTTGCCAAGAATACTTTGTATTTGATGTATTTGGATGATTTCGGAAACACGTCCCATTCCGCGCTCGAGAGCTGGATGATTTCGCTTGCCACAGACTGCCATCATCCGTTCTGAGGGCCGAATTCGTCGTTCTGAGTCAGAGTATGTCAGAGTGTCTCCCTTGATCGTCCCCCAAACCTCTCAACACTGCCCGAACCACCCTCAAGTAGATCCAACAAGTTCAAACACAATTGACCTCACCAGTCGGGTCAGGCTTCTCTCTACATTTCTGGTGCCATATCATGTGTTTTAGGAAACGCCCCCAGGCCCCAGACCTCACCATATCAGTTCTTTGTTTTGAGTTTTCTGCTCCTCAGGAGCTTGGCTGATTTACTTGGGCATCGACTCTCTGAGAGAATCGGATGAGGACGTGGGCGGCCGGTCAGACCACCGGGCCGGGGCCAGGGTGACCGTGGGATGTGAAAGGCTCAAACGGTCTCGGCCAATTCTGTTCTTTGTTTCGATACAGGTTCTTCAGATGGACATAGATGGACTGAAACATGTTGAAACCAAAGGGCAGACGTTGAGTTGAGTTCGTACAAATTGGCTGATCGCTTCTGAACAGTTGTTGTTCGTTCAAGGGCCCAAGGGCTCGCTGGCGGCTGGCGCTAAGTTTTGGGTGTTTGGGCTATTTGTCATAATGCCATATGTTTTAGCAGTGACTTTCACGCTTGAATGTTCCACTTTTTGGAGAAGGGCCCCCCCCTTCATATGTTCAATCAACCCGCAACTATATACATACTCCTGGAATCCTGTGCGAATTTCCTCTAAAAAAGCAGACAACCCGGGTTGTCATAAAAAAATGAGAATGGATGAAAACATACAGTGCCAGTCTACAACTGGAACCTGGGGGTTCCCATTTTCTATAAGGGCAAGAGGTGATTGATTTATTAGAGAATTTGGTTGTCGAGCAATGCCTCGAGATTGGTGCTGATTTTTTAAAGGAAAGAGTCTTTGCAAAGCCAGATTTGCAAATCCAAGCACGGGCTCAACCCTCAGATGCAGAGAGCATGAAGAAACATTTTCTGCAAGTCATGAAGAAACACATGCATGAGTCGACTTTGTTCCACTCGAACCCGGGCTGTCTCCAAGTCTCCAATTCAAGTCTCCAAGCCTTTTCCTTCAAGCAGAGGCATTCTGGCTATTGATTATTCAGAGAATGTCCTTCATTATTTAGTGCCACTTCTGGACCCTGAACCTGGGGGTTCCTAAAGAATTGACAGTCCGGGTGCTTCGTGCGAAATCGAACGGGGATCTCCTGGAAATGTGCTACTTATATATATATATATACATATGGATATAAAAACCAGTCTAACGAGCTCCAATTTCAAGGCATTTCGAGTCGACACATGATATTCATTGATATTAATGTCTCTACTTTTAGTAGATCTGCGGGTGTGGATCATGTGCCGTTGTGTTTGGATGCCCCCCCAATCCAACAGCAAGCCCACTTGGACAGAAGTCCCCACCCAAACGGCGACTGTGCGACGGTTTAGGGACCAGCAGCCACACAACACCTCCCCCTCCACGCCATCGTCATGAACTCTTGGGTACATCATATGGTGGTGGAAACATCAGCGATGCAGGAGAGCAATTTCGACCCTGAGACCTCTGGCTTCTACCGTGCCCTGCGCTGGGTCTTTGGCAGTCGGCTGGAGCCACACTACGGCGACTCGCTGGCTGGGCCATGCAAGGGTGACAGAAAAGAGATGAAAGCAGAAGTGTTAAAGTTTTGGAAGGGAAGCAACAGAGAACCAGCCAGATCCTCCCCTCGCTTGCATTGGATGAAATCGACCATTGCCCCCCTAATCGAGGCGATACGCAAGGGAGGTCCAATTCATCAGTCTTGCTGTTTCCGCTCTTCATCGAACATGGCGAACCACTGCCTGGGACCGACTCAGGAGATGGCTTTTCTTACCGAACTGCACGTGGAGAGCTTCGTTTCTCCATGCAGGCTCCGGTGCTTCTTTGCCACCTGGCCGAATTGAACGCCCTGAAGCTTATGTAGAAAGAGAGGACAGGCAAGGAATGGGTCCCTTGTATAAAGCTCCTTTATTAAAGGGGCCCTTATCAAAGGGGGTCTCAACACAATTCTTTTGATCAGTTTTTTTATTTACATAAACGAAGGATTTCTAGAGTTACTTTAAGTATATTTTCAGTTTAGTTTCTCGACCCTGCGTGACATCAGCACCGCTCATCACCGCTCATATGGTCGTTCTGACACCTTGGTGACTTGATCCCGATGGAACGAGGCCTGATTGTGGCAATGTTCTTGTTGGAGCTGGATGTGACCTTGGCCAAGATTGAAGACATCCCCAGTAACTTCATTGGCTGGACCAGCTCGGTCTTCGTGGCCTTTGCCTTGTCAGACCTCTATTTCCTGGTGACCTGGTGTTTTTTGGATCCAGAGAGGGCCGGGATGGGTAAGGGGAGAGGTGGCGAGATGGTGGGTTGGCTTCAAGGCTCGGCTGTATGCTTAAGAGCCTTTGGGCTCAGCATGTCATTCGCATAATTTTAGATGAATGAATTTCCACCAGCATTGGCGGCATTTTTACGGGAAGTCTTTCCTGACACCTACAGAAGTCGTCTATCCCAGTATGCCGTATGCCTGGTTGTTGGGATGTTCAATCTGTTGGATGTATTGTATGTTATGTAGATGAGAAACCCGAAGGGCGACAGGACTAAGTAAGCCACACTGTTGATAGCAGATGTTGTACCAACCAAGAGGGCTTGGTTTGTGAGCGCCCAAGCAGGTGAGTCAACTCTTCAAGAACTTCCAGTTGGTCCGTTCGGGCATTAGCATTCTGTTGATTTTCTTTGGTGCCTTGTTACTTCTTCGCAATGAAGTGCAAATTTCAGACACCGCGGAGATCGCGGGCATGCTGAGCATCGTGCTTCTGTCGGTGATCTTCTCTCAGCCAGCTGGTCGAAGCTTCAGGTTTTATATTAACATGTTTGGATGCTCATGTTGATTTATTTTTTCCGACGATCACTGGATGCATCCGTTTCAAAGAGTTCCCTCGTTGTCTTTGGATTGGGCAGGTCACGGTCTGTTTGATCAAACAGCTTTTGCGCTTGTGGTGCCGGATCCAGCCAGCAAAGGTACATGGACCTTGCCCCTCACAAGGGTGCAGCCTTTGCTTCCGAAGCCGAAGGTATTTCGGAACAAGTCGACTACTCCGAAGAGCGGGAAGAGGCCTGGGAAGCACAAACGCATCATTTGTAGCACAATGCGAAGCTTTCAGACAATTGAGACATAGGATAGGCGAGAGCTTCGCATTCCCTGTGTTTCGACCCATTCATGACTCTGCGTCGCGTCACACACGGGCTGTCGTACTCCCCAGGAGTCACAAACGCAGTCTCCAGCGGACGCGCTGATTTCCAGCCAGCGCACCTCCAAGAACAATTGAAGATGACATGAGCCTCAAAACCGTCAAAAAGACCGTCGGGACATGAGACCAAAGACCGGATCGACCGTCCAGCCGGGAGCGTTGAGAGGAGCGTTTTGAGACGGTCGGTTTGAGCGTTTTGAGGCTGAGAGAGTCGGGAAACGATGGCCATGTCAAATCCACCCTACCCGACAGAAAAACTGGATGGAGAGGGTTCAATATGGTTTAATGCTTCTCGAGGCTGATTCTGGAATCTGTGCTTTTTCACCTAGGTCGTCACACGATGAGCACAGGGTGGTGTTTGAGAGGGATATTTTGGAATGATTGATCGCGGGCAGTTATGGGATGGCAGATAAAGAGGGCGGAACCATGGGGTGAAAGAGGGCCGACGCATAGATGATCCCTCATGCAGGGCAGTTTGGTTTGGCCAACTTCTCTCCCCCGGTCCTTGGTGAATTTATCGCATGCTGATCGCTTGGGGTCAACCATCACAAGACGCAAGCCTGCCTTGGACAGAATCTTGCACCATTCTCGGAGTCATGAACAGCACAACGAACATTCACCAGACAGCTCACCGTGTTGTAGCTGCTCAGCTGCACACTCAGGATGAAAGACCTTGTCCATCTGTCGTGCATAGGGCCAGTTGACAGTTTGTGGGAGCAGATTCCGCTTCAAATTCACAGGTCAGGTGAAACAGACATCAATCGTTATTGTCATAGTCCTTACCATGTCAATATATGTCAATCATTTTCGCCTGGCAAGTGGAACCTGGTCCAGGAGCTGCCGCAGCCAGAGTCACTTGGATTTATAGACTCTGGGAACGCCAGGGGGGAACGTAGAGGAACTGTAGAGGAATCTTGTGCAATTTTTGCGGGCTCGCCTGTTGAACATTTTCCATATTGACCTCCATTGGGAACAAAGCTGCCAATCCAGGTGATTCGGCACTGTTGCAACGTGTTCTTTTTTTGTTGCTACTTTATCCATGCTGCCTTTTGCTGCCGTCTCTATTTTTCAGTTTAAGTTTAAGTTCAGAGCTGAGAGTGAGTTATAGTTTCAAGATGTTTTAAGTTGCTTGTTTGCGTTGGGTGTTTGGAAGCGGCAACGGTTGTAGCTACACCAGAACGTCATGCATGCCAATCTAAACTCAGATGCATTGATATGTGTGTCTTGGGTGTTTGTCGTTTTGATGGACCCCCAAATGCTGACAGTGGCGCACGTTTAGACGCCAACCGCGATGGAGTGGTTTCATGTGAATGGGTAATTGGCTGTCCATGTCGCTCCGGTTGGGGTGGTTTCAGCTGAAGGGTCTTGAAGAACTGCTCCATGTCATTCAGATTGCTCCAACAAGTGTTGCTCGTGGTTGCTGGACTTGACGAAATCGCCCGCGCAACTTGACACCAATGCGGTTGACACTTTCTGATGCCGAATTAAGCATCGAGCATGGTTGCATAATTAATAAAAGATCAGAGTCTGAGCATGACCTATACACTGTAATGGCAGGAGCACAGGAACTCCAGCAATAAGTTTGTATGGTTCTGATTGCCGCCAGTTTGCAGTGGCGAGGCCCCTTTGTTCGGGTCACATCTGCAGATTCAGTACTCATGAGTAGGCTAATCCAGACTTACTTAGGGTCGCAGTTCGGATTAGCCTTTTTACTTTGTATGTTAACTATCCTCCTCAAGATCAGTCTATTGGACAGGTCGTCAAAAAATGAGCTCCTAGGCTCGCAGCTTTGGTTTTTAGCTCGAAATGCGTACGCCTTTGCGCGTACGTCTGACCTTCTGCCAACAAAAAAGAGACTAAACTAATCCTGCCTTTTCTTTTGCAGCCGAAGCTGCCCCAGCTCTGGCCATGGGGCAGATGGCTTCTTATCGCCCGGCGCTCTGTTGCGAGCCACGGTGCGCTGGGAGACGTGCCCGTTGTATCCCGTTGTGTTGTAAGGCCTCGATTCGTTTCCACCACAAATGCCACGTGCAACCGCACGGTGTTCCCAAGGAATATAGCAATGACCACATGTTGAGAGTAGCCTTTGTAGGGTTTAAGGCCATGACCTGCATAGGGCTGGTTACCAAGTGAGTTGCTCAATGGAGGATCAGTGGCGTTGACGTGCTGGCTGCATGTACAAGCTCTTCACACATCAAACTTGTGCTTATTCTTTGCAATTGTTTCTTATGATGTGGCACATGTTGCACTTAATTTTGAACAGGACTGCACGCTGGCCACTTGAGTGAATCCTCATTTGTTGCAACAATCGCAATTATCAGCCGGCACCTGCTTTTAATGTTTGTGTTGCTTTTACACTTGCCGCACCCGCCGCTGTCGATAGATAGGCTCAAATCTTGGCCGTAACTCACGGCGACACATCACCCGAAACGCCGATCAGATCGAAGAATCTTTCGGCAAGATGATGGCCAAACAGGAAGCCGCGGCAGGAGTGTCGTTCACCACGGATTTGTCCAACATCGGCAGCGGCAGCTCGGCAAAAAATTGAAGTCCAGCGGCCACAGACTGAGACGGGAGCGCCGGAAGGTGTCGAGAAGACATGAGAGTAGTTGGTGTTGGATGGGTGAGTTCAAGGCAAGCATGTTTTTCCTTGTTTGGTGAGCTGGAACGTAATTCTGGATTGGGCATTTGTCCAGTCAGCTCTTCCTGGATGTTTTGTTCCAAGGAAAACACTCCCGGCTCTTCAACACTGGCGCGGGCGGCGTTTTGCAAGAAGAGCGACGCTTGATCGACAAGGTCTTCAGCATTGTTGACAAGGACAACTCGGGGCAAGTAGACATTGAGGAGCTGAAGGGCATGTTCAAGCTTTTCAACGTGGAGGCCAGCTTTCTTGAAAGCGCGATCAGCAGGCCGGGCCATGTGGTGTTTTAGGAGTTCGGTCAAGGCATTTTCAGGCATTTTGCTGCACAGACGGTCAAATTGGGATGTGCCTTTAGCCTTTAGCAATTTAAGCACGTTTATGCACGTTTTCATACTCATGCTCTACGCTTTGCTAGGGGTTGTCGGCCGAGTGCTGTGCCGCATCAAAATGGGCTGAAAGTCTGAAACCATGGCGTGCAGGATCATGTCCAATGTTGACAAGGATTTGGACTATATGATCTCGCCGCAAGAGTTCTACCAGCTCCTTTCCCAGAAGTTTGAGAAGGATGACCCCAAAGAAGAGATCATGGCCGCATCTCGTGCTGGAATTGGTGCCCTTTTTGTTTTGGCATTTCTTTCTTTTTGTTGTGTGTAGTTCTCAGCTGCAACTTAACGAACTCACTCACTATATTATATACCCCGTTCCTGAGCGTCCCTTCAGCCTAAGAACTCCAAGAATGCAAAATAGTTGTATTAAGATGATGGCAGAGAAATGGACCGACTCCCGACTCACCCATACAAAAAATCCATTTGGAACTTGGAACGAATAGCTTCCTAATGCTTTCTATAGATTTCCGTAGTTTTTTTTGTTTCCTCGAATCTCACCTCGTCCTCTTCATCCGTCCGGTACTCGGTCAGTTCTCCAGGTCTTTCGGCGCATGGACAAGAACGGGGATGGGCACTTGGACGTGGATGAGCTACACGAGGTGGCGACGATGTTGGGGGAAAGCCTCCCCAAGTCCGAGATTAAGGACAAGCTGCCTGGGACATCGTGTGATGGATGATCAAGAGTAAAGAGATTGATTGGTACAGACTAGCTAGATGGATGATTCGTGTTCAATATTCCATAGCCACTAGCTAGAATCGCCTGAAGAGGCGAGGTGCCCGTTGCATGGTGCCCGTTGCATGAAATGCTGGCCACGGTTGGGAATCGAAGGGCCCAAATGCCAAGGCCACTGTTTGGTCAAGTATTTGCGCGCGTCATTCCTGTGCAAAGTAGATCAACATAGATCAATCAGTTTATCATATTTATTTATCAGGATGGGATTCATACTACGGACAACTTCTCACTTCTCACACAATCTTTTTTTCTGCAATCTACTATAGCAAAAGCATGAATGTTCCTTCCCTAGCTTAAGTACGCAGTGTTTCACGGTTTGACTTCTTCCCGGATCAATCACATCGTGACGCCTACTATTGGCTGGTCGAACACAAGCCCCAACACAAGCGGACCCAGTCGAAGGACATGGTGAAGCTTTTCAACAGGAAGTACCAGAAAGACTTGCAGGAATACAACAGGACGCTAGGCAGAGGTTTCATTCTTGCGTTCGGAACGTGGTTTCGGGAGCTTGGTATGACGGTGGCTCTTTTTCGAGGCTTACGTGCCACGTGCAACATGAACCATCCCGCCCCTCATTGATGCTTATGGAAACCGAAGGCCCCGCCTAAGGATCACTAAGGATAACTACTCAACTAATTAGCAGAGCACCAGCGACCTGAGAAGAATCCAATTGGATGGGTTTCCCTGCTCTTCGAAGAATCCAAGCTTCAGACAGCTTCAGATGTCGCCCACTGAGGAACAAGAGAAAGGACAGCAGTGCAAAAGAGCCCCCAGTCCCTGCCAGCATCAGCCCGGATGATTTCTACGCTGTCATGCAGGAGGAGCTCTGAGTAGGGCAGGCGCTGCCGCTGCAGGCTTCAAATTCGAACCGGGCATTTTGCGATACTCAGGCGCTGCATAATAGCCAGGGGACATTGAAACGGACCTTTCCAGGTGCACGGACTACGTGTTAGTTCCCCTTGTTGTGACGGGGTTGTTTGTGTTTATCAACTCCAAACTGGCTGGCTGATCGACAATAGAAGCGACCCTGGGAAGCACAGAACTCGCGTGTAGACGTTTCTTTTGCATGGCCCGGACTGAAGAACTGAAGAGTTTGGGGTGAGCAGCGAGGTGTGCTCAACTTGAGGCCATGGCGGCCATGACATGCTTTGACTTGGAATTAGTCTCAATTCTGATCCATTTTACTGGACCTGCCTTTCAGATTCCCACGTTGCTTTTAAGATTGCCAGCCGAAGAAGGTGTCGTTTACAAGAGAGGGTTTGCGAGAGTTAGCTTGCACACATCCCAGAATATTTAGCATCATGTCATTCGCCAGCTCCACTCATAGGCAATTGATATTTGTTGTGAGGGGCAGATAGCATATTATGGCCCGACTAGTCCAAAGCCACTCAGTCTTCTGCCAATCTTCCCCCGATAAGCCGTGCACACCTCGCACACGGATGTTTCACGCAGAAGCCGCAATTGGCTGACCACCTGCCTTTTTTGTGCTCAAAGGGAGCGTGCCGGAAGTCAGCACTTGTGGTTCTTGGTTGTTTTTGTTCCGCAGAGTGTGGGGAACAGAGGCCCAAGTCTGCCGGGCTACTTGTGTGCGTTGTCCCTTCCCCCTGGAAATTTAGAACTGACCGACTCAGTGAGACATCCTTCAAATCGACAGACCCACGACTAAACTCGTGACTAAACCAGTTGTTCTGCGGAGGTTAAGGAGGAAGGATTCTCATCACAGGTCACAAAGAGAGACTTGGTGTCTTGGTGCGCACGGCCACCCCAACAGTGATTGTCATCAAGAAGGACCTTTCATGACCCACCGACCGCCGACTGAACCACAGGGAACGGATATGAACGGATGAGATCCGACTTGAAAGCTCCTCGTTGCAGGGACCGGCTCCCGACAGAGGGCGTGGAGGGTCATCATGCGGTGCAGCTGGCCGCAACGCCTTTGTTCAAGGCACACTGCTGGGGTCCACGGGGGATGGGAGGCGCCTGCAATCCTTTGCGGTGTTCCTGTCGCAGATGATGACAGAGGAATGTTTTTCTTTGGTGGCACACGTGGAAACCTGAAACCACTAGTCACTAGGTCTTCCAAACCCTGGCGTGTTCTTAATCCAGAGGAGATGGCGATCGTCCTTGATGTGGGGGGGATCGCCCAAGCAGGCTTTGGGTTTCACTGCCTACCATACCTCCATCATCGTCGGCGAGCGGGAGCTCTTTTTCGATGGAGCTGGGATAGCAGCTGGACTGGTGAGGCATAGGTGGTGATCACACATATTGTTCACATCTCGACGAGTCATGACCGCGAGAGAGAGAGAGAGAGACTGGGGAGATGTTCAGTTCAGGAAGTCACGCGTCATGGGCGGGATTGAAAACAGATGACGCCTTTTGGAAACGAAGATGAAAGAGGGCAAAACCAAAAGGCCTCAGAGTAGGACCGAGCAGGCTGTTTTCCGTGCAGGCAACATAGACCTGACACCCAGTGAGTTTGCTCAAGTTTGATCTGGCTGTTTTCAATGGGGGGCTCCCTTCAACACTCGTGGAATAATGTGGAATATATACTTTCATCAACTTTGCTTTGCACACAGTGCATGTTTCACCTCCATGTTCGTTGGAGGGAGAGTTTATGCACATCCTCCTGTTATGTGGAAAGCCTGGAAGAACCTTTTGCTGGACAGGCGTGGTGAAAAGATCCCTCATGTGGGCTTGTTTGTAAAATGAACTCCCTTAAGGACCGCAATGTATTAATTTGACACATCTATTTCTTGGCGCACTCGAGGCGGCACAGGGCTTGTTTCACGCTCAGCCGACTCGGCGAACATGGCGGACAGCTGAGGTGGAGGCCGATGCCTTCTGGAGCCACGACTGGTGCCAGAGTGCCATCCGGACCACACGGCCGAACAGGCCTGATGACTGGTGTCGGGGAGAGAGGCACGGATGGCAGGCAGACTTGTGTCTTTTTTGTGCTGCCTTTGGTTCAGCCCTGGCCAAATGGGTCTTAAAGCTTTGAATGCTCTTTAGCTTTACCATAACGTTGCCTGCATCCTGCTGCAGTCCCTGAAGCATTGTTCCATTTGCTCATGGGTGCAGCGTCTGGGGATGTTCAGTCCGCCTCACAGAGTCGATTGGCAGAACTCCTGATGTTTTCTGTCGTCTCTTTGCCAAAGTCGCTTGCTACTACCTGGGGGGAATCTGGAGAAGTCCCAAACTTCACAGGCACAAGCAGATTGAGGTGGTGGATTTGGGCAAAAGCGAGTTCCTTGGCGGTAAGGGCTGCGGAGAGACTTCGTTGGGGTGACGGTGGGGGGAACTGCACTACGTTCCTATCGTTTCGAAAATCCAGACCGAGACACGGTAAAGAGTCCCCCCAGTTGGCCTTGCACTCATCCGTTGGAATGAGGTTGGATGCAGCACATGCCGTAAGCATTTTGGATCCTTGGTTTGAGGAAGGCACCTACGACGTTTTAAGGACCACTGGGCCGTTTGCACGCACCTCAGCAAGGGCCAACAAGTGCGACTGCAGTCAGGCTCAATTTTGGCCGCGGCATTCACTCATCATTCAGACATCAGTCAACAGTCAACATCGTCCTCATGGAATTAGGAGACAACTAGTAACTAGAAATAACCTTATAAACGTCGGGCAATTGATTTGTCCTCACGAGTTTTGCCTCAAATGAACTTCTTCTCCATTTGGAATGGTTTGCTCGATTCATGCGGTTCTTATCTTCTACCAGCTCCACCTGGAGCGGATAGGTGGCTTCCACAAGATTTCACACGGAGGGGTCCAAAATGGCCAGCTTGGCGTTGCAGGAAAAACTGCAACAGCTTCACTGATGCCGCAAGTTGGCTTCTTACCAAGCAACGCCCCTTGGCAATGCTTGCAGTCGCGGTCAGGCTACAATTTTCACAGTCAGAGGGAGATTGGGGGAGATCGGCCGGAGTGTCCGTTCGATGGTGTCATGGGGGCATTTCCATATCCAGCAGCAGTCCAAAAAGATCCGAAAGAGTCCATAAATGATCATATATGTCATACATTGTGATCATTGTGCTGTATATGATTTTATATCATACCGTTGCAATACCAATATATTTTATACTGTATATATAAGGCGTGGGGGCTTGGGCCTTATATAAGCACTATGGGCCTATGGGCCTTATTCCATGGGCCTTATATCAACCGTCAACGCTGGTGCTGTTCCAAAACCGCTCGACCTTCTGCCCTTCCCTTCTGCCGGTTCCCCTCGTCCGACGACCGCGCCATGCGGCTGGGAAGGTTTAAACCCCAAGTTCAATCGCATGGAGCGCTGGGTTTTAGCCTTGGAGCCCATGTCGCTGGAGCTCATCAAGAGGCGTGGGACGCCAATGGGAAGCCAATGGGAGGCCGGAAGGCCACGGGTCATTCAGGTGGAGGTGCTCGGCATTTCAACAGATGCCGCAAGCGCGTAGGCCATTGGTAGATTTTGTTAGATGGAGATTTCTGTAAGCCCATGAAAACCCGCTCTTGGGCGTGTGCTCTTTGAGATGATCTGACTTCGCGCGTTCCGCTTTCACCAGGCTCATTAGCTTGTTGCACCAGAATGAAGAGCCTCAGCAGGTGCATCAGAGCCGCGTGTTGTCCTCGCTCGGATGGCCCTTAGGCCAACATCCTTCGTACTATTTCGTACTGATGGTTCGGATCTTGGTGCAGTTGGTCTTGCAGTGGGCATCAGCTCACATTGGCGCACCAAGTTTGTGTGTCCAAGCCGCACAGTTTACATGTCCAGGCGTGCACATGGTGCCTACAAACATGCAGATGGACACGTACAGTTTCTGTGGACATCATAGATGCACATGGTGCTTTTAGCGCCGCTAGAATGGTTTGCCCCTTCTCTACTAATTAGAACAGTAATGCGGCATCAGCCTTGGATGGAGTGTGGACAAACAAAGCCAAGTTCATCCGTTCATGCGGAATGACAATTGCTGGAAGAAACCGCAGAAACCTCATGCTCGCTTGTTTAGCTTCTACACCCCTACGACAAACACACCCGTTGAGTAGACGGAGTCAAGAACCCTAACAGGCCCTAACACACCCAAAATACACGAGTGGAGTTCCAATCCTGGCCCCTGCAAGGTAGAACCCCGAGAGAGAAAGACAGAAAGACAGACAGACAGACAGCCAGGCAGGCAGGCAGACGGACGGACGGACGGACGGACAGACAGAGAGAGAGAGAGAGAGAGAGACAGAGAAGGAGAAAGAGAAAGGAGTCCAATCAAAGGACGCAAAAGAATCGAACAAATAACAGTGTGGAGTCCTCCCAACTCCATCCACTTCCATCCCGCATCACATCCTGCCAGTTTGGTCAGGCCCCGGGCTATGAGCCGAATCCTCGGGCACAAGGTGTCGAACCTGTTCAGTGCCAGATTTTTTGGTTCACCCCTCTCCTGCCTGGGGGGCGGGGTGTTGGTTCGGACGGCCCCATTGAATCGCATGCTGCAACCATGTGAGTGGAGCAAGTCCACAGCCTTTTTCTGTGCAGCTCACGGCCATATGTTCAACATGCCTGGGACCCATTCGTGACCCTTGCCAGTTGGATTTAAGGGATTTTAAGGGGTGGTGTGCCCCCCCCAACTCCCACAAGCTACGTATATATATAACATACAGGCTGCTGTCGGTATGGGATGGTATGGGTACATTCACACCCTTGGCCACCAGCTGGGCAAGTGAAACTGGATGCGGAGGTGAACATTCAAAAGGTCTTGCAAGGGCAGGGTCCGATGTTGCTGGACCCCTCACATGCCACATGAAATCTGCATCCTGGAACCAGGCCCCAAGCAGTGCGAGCGCTCCTTTTTGGAGTGCTGCGATGGCCCAAGCCGCGCAAACCCAAGACCACCACGTGTCGCCATGTTTCACCATTGCCTTTGCGTGCAGATTTCAACGTCGAGCACGTGGTTTCGCGGCTAGGCCATGCCCAGAGGCAGGAGCGGTTTGTATTGCTCTCCTCATCTCTCCTCCCTGTCTTTCAATAGAGAGGTTGTTCCCAGCACTGGAACCACACGGAGATCGTTCCACCTGGTGAAACCATGCAACAGATAGAAACTGGTTGGACTTTGGGAAGGACACCCGTTTGGAATGATGAGTCGGGAACTTCTTGGACGCCCGAAGCCTTGGTGCCACGGAGAAACCCGGTGTCAGGCACTATTATTGCTGCAATCGGAATTCGCCGCGGCGAAAGAGGCTATGTCATTCCGGTGACCTGGCTCAGAGCTTGAAATCGATCACAGCCTGTTTGACTCGATTTGGAGGGCCTTTGCATGCCTTAGCCACGACTTGTGATGTTGCCGGTTGCCGTCTTGTGGCAAATCATGCTCTCCCCCAATCATTGCATTACTCTTTAAGGACGCGCTTTTGGAGACCCCCGACATTGGGATTAAGAAGCTCTTTCTACGATCAACTCACTGTTCCCAGCAACTATATAATGTTGGGTCCTGATTAGTAAATAGGTCCTCTATAATGCTAAAAATTTTCCAAATTTATTCAGACCCCCCTGTTTGAAAAATGGTACCTCTATAATGCTAAATCTTTTTTGGGCCCTAAATTTTTAAATTGGAAACCCAATTAATAAGGGTGTGAATTCCTTCTGAGGCCAATGATTATGATTCATTAGCTGATATAGCTTTCTCTAGGTTTCTTCAAAACTGACAGCTGACCAAAACCACCAATTCCCCAATTAAACTAAACCCTTTATAAAACATTGCTCCTAAACAAATTTTCAAGGTAGTAGACCAGGAAGGCACCTGATCCTCAATAATAGATTTGTTTTTGGGTCCTCAATTGTGAAAAGTTTTTTCAACTGGAAAAAATTGTTCATGGAATCTTCCTTTACTTAGGAAGCCATGGAAGCTGAGGAGCTGAGGAAGAAGCTGAAAGCTTGGGGCTTCTCTTGAGCTGTAGATCTGAGGCTGCAAAGCAAAAGGATTACTGAGAACAAGAGAACAATTACAAAGCACCTGAGAAAGGAAGCTGAATACAATCTATGAAAGGAAACTAAATACTACAATCAATTATAAAAGATCCCTCACCAGGAATCCAGATTTGTTTTGGTGATAGTTTATTATAGAGGACTCCCTTTTTGTTTGAGGGGAGGGGGGGGGGGCTCCTATTTACTAATCAGGCGCCAACATTACTGTTTCCTGCAGTTTCTATTTGTTTCCAGCCTCACCTGGTGACACCTTCGCTCCAGCGTCGCCGAGGCGAAGAGATGTCGCCCTGCTCCTGGGAGCGAAAGGAGCCCCGCGTTCGGTGGCGCGCACGGTGCGCGGCGCCGTTTGCGGACTCGCGGAGCGAACGATCCGAACGACCCGCCGCGTGCGAATTGGCCGTTGTCGTTCGGTGCGAATTGGTCGTCTCATGGCGTCTCCCCAGTGTGCAGGACACAGCCATCGAAAAGGCCTGGGAGCCATCAGTGGAAGACTATCCCTGCAGAGCTTGGAACCCCTTCGACAACCGCAAGGAGGGCGGACCGGGAGAGGCGCACAAGTGACGAGTGATGGAATCCGAACAGCAATGAACAGCAATGAACAGAAGAACGGCCTCTTGAACTTTTCAATGTTGCATGTTGCACCTCCGCATGTTCAGGGGTGAAGTCGTCACCAGTCGAAGTGGCTAGAAGTGGCAGCGGGTCGACCAGGTGCTCATAGTTGGATTGGAATTTATCTGAGTTCAGATGAGTGGAGGAAACGCAACCCAAGTAAGATCTACACAGTCCATGAGTGTCTATATAATTCTATTTATCATTACATGTCCGGTCCATGCCACTACTTCTCAGGATTGCACGATTGCACTATGCTTTTTGGAATCTTTTTGCAATAAAGAAGTCTTAAAGCCCTTGAACCCCTCCAGACGGTGATGAACTCAGCGTCAGAGCTACACAAACACAGATATGGATATGATATTAATATATAGTTTTGATCACACACTACACACATAGATAAGATAGATAGATCGATAGATCGAGAGATCGACAGACAGACAGACAGACAGACAGCCAGCCAGCCAGCCAGCCAGCCAGGTAGGTAGGTAGGTAGGTAGATGGATAGATAGATAGATAGATAGATAGCTAGACAGAGATAGACACAGACAGACAGACAGATAGACAGATAGATAGATTAGAATAGAACAGAGTAGTATAGTATAAGCAGATTAGATAGATTGAGAGATTACTTTTATTATGCTCGCACACACACACACATATACATATACATACATATATACGTCAGAGGAGAATCTCACGGCGGGGGACGACGAGCCCCGGGTGCCCACGGTGATCATTGAGCGGCTCCACTTCCCAGGCGCCATTGGTCTGTGACGAACGACGGGGTCCGTCGGTGTCCTCACCCGAAAGGCCCACTCAGTCGAGGTGTCCAGAATGGAAGGCCAAAGGAAATCGATGCTACTCCCCGACGGCCTTACAGAGCTGGTCATAAATGTTTGTCAGAAGATTTCGACTTTGATTGGTGCCGTTTTGATGTGAGGCAGCCGCGGTGGTTGAAGTGAGCTGGGGTCGTAGATTAGTCAGGTACAGTGATCGCATGTTGGAGGCGTGTAGCAATCATATATAATCATATATAATCACCATAAGCAATCAATGCAGGGACTAAAGATTACAAAGGTCAGTTGCACGGACACAATGAACTCAATGAAATCGCAAGATCATTTCCTGATTTTTGCATGGGTGCGGGCTCCATTGCTTGGCTTCAAACATTTGCTTTGCATGGAGTTGAGGAGGTTTCAAAGTGATTGAACCATCGCCTCTCGAGCAGGGTCTATGTTTACGGGTGCGAACATGTCCGATTTCCACCAATGTTCCAAGTTGTTTGATTTCCACCAACAGCATGCGGTCTTTTAGCAGCTCCAAGTCCAAGGCCTTGTTCCCTTCACCGGGACACGCGAAAATGCGCAGGACCTCTACCTGCGCGTGCCAATGGCCGAGTGCAGGTGCTGTCCTGAGTTTCTGACTTCCGGACTGCCACCACCACCTGGACTGCTGGTGAAACACGGCGGAACGTTTGCAATCCACAGCCCTCCATTCTTGGTGTGGATTCGGATGCCTCGAAGTACGCACGAAAGGCCAGCTGGATTTTTTACAGTAAGACAGAGGGGGTGCCTCGGTGCCTCCACACGCCTGAGAAAGGGCTGGCCCTTTCCTCAATTTGACGTATGGCCTCAAGTGGAGGATGCTTAGACCCACTGCTTAAAGATATTTAATTTACAGATGATGTTGCCGATTTGAGCAATTTTTGCTGCTCCTTGGAATGCACCCACAGGAGTGGGGGTTGGTATCATTTTGTCCAGTCATGATATATACACGTCCAAACGAACAATATGGTGTTTCCACACTTTACCACATGACAATAAGCTGTCCCCCCTCACTTTGATGGAAACAGTCCTGTAAAAATCATGTGTACTGATGCATGCTGCAGAGATCTGCATTGGAACAAGCTGGAGAAGGGACATAGGTGTACATCAATTATATAGCCATATCATCATTAGCAATTCTAATAAACTGTCAACATACTGGGCGCAAGGTCCAGGTAGAAGAGCGTGTTGCTCGTTCGCTTGGGAAACGCGATCGCCAGGCTTTTGTGGAAGAAGATGTGGTTTGGAGCTCGAACTGAGGCTGGAAGCCTCAAAAACATTCGGAAGTGGGATGCAGTGACTGTACACCAAGAGTTTGCAGAAACCTCAGGAAGAGATAAGAAGACATAAGAAGACTGATCCGAGGCAGGGCCAGAGTGATTTGTACAGGAACTTCAACCATCTGCACTCCCAACTCCCGAAGCAGAATCCCATGTAGATTGCAGTTGGGCATTCTCGCACCGAATCAGGCTTCTTTTCAAATACACCTTCCTCGTACCGATCTGGGGGGCATTTTCTTTACCAGAGTGGCCTGCGGATAGATGACCCAGAAAAGAAGGGTGTTTTGATGTGTTTGGTGTCAGAACGACGCGGTCGTTCCAAATGGATTTGAGGATGGTAGCTCTGTCGTACCTCGTGGGCTCGGCCGCCGAGGTCGGCTGCACGGCGAGTCCGTCGCCGAGGTCGTCCGGTCGTTTCACCCGTGAAGCTGTGCAGCTGGCGGCTTCGATCCGGGCGGAGGGGTATGGCGTTGGGTCATGAGGCGTTGGGTGGGCGCTGTGTTCGAAGAATGCAAAAAGGACATTTCTAATAGCTTCTTGTTACTACTAGTAAGGCCCTTGTTATTAGAAGCGATGCACTTGTTACTAATAGCTTCTGTTGACATGTGCAGATGTTCTTGACCGTTCTTGACATGTGATATGTTGTCCCGCTTCCTTCCGACTCCTAAAGGGGAGCGATAAAGATCGACGGAAGGATGAAAAGACAAGAGCAAAGCTCGGTGATTTGTTCTAATTATATATCTTCCTGGGGCTTGGGAAGACATGATCTGCAGATCAGATGCCATCACTAGGTGGACAGAAAGACAATGATTGTAGTATATATTGTAGTAGTGGGACCCCACAAGACCTACTACTTGACCAATTTTTACCAAATCATTGTGGAGCAATCGCACGGCTTCCCAAGCTTTAGAGTGCACGTTTGGACCAGGATTTACTGGTATTCGTGGACGATTCAGACAACAACCTCGCGCACATCAGCTTTTTTTGGGGGGGTGGATTGTCACACAAAAGCGACACTATTTGACACTTCTTTTTTGTTTTGCACAGAGTCAATCATAGTCACACCTTCAAATCCTGGCCGGCAGGGTCGGATCCGCACACATGGCATCTGAAAAGATGCACTCGATGAAGGCGAAATGGCCAGGCCAGCGCGTTGGAAGCGCCAGAGCACCGGGGACTGTCGGCACCTGAAACCTAGCTGAGCAGTAGAAGTGCAAACTTCAGAGAACTGGGGACTTATGCAATTTTGGTTGGAGGTTACAGAGTTACAGGTTATAGAGGTTATGCTGAAAGCTGGAGGGACAATCACACTCTCAAGATTTCTTAAGGTCAGAGTGGACCACTGAAGACAATTCCCTTTTGCACCCACCACTGGCTTTGCACCTACTTCCTTGTCACGCAGGTATGGCCAAGTCAAAAAGATCATAGCAAACCAGAATGAACGTTGATGGTCATCGCCATGGACAATGTTGATGGCCCATCGCCATCGCTCTATATCGCAACGGCCTTCTGGGTTTTGTGCTTAGGAAACCGTCGCCGAAGCGTTCGCTAGGAAACCTCCACGTTCCTCGGACTCTTGAGTAGTCTGACAGTCACGAGTGCTGAGGCTTGACCAGACTCCGCCCCACGTGGATGAGGAGCTACGAGAAGAAGCACCAGCTGAGGTGACCCGGTGTGAGCAGTGTGTTTTCGATGATTTTGGCGGGTGTCTCCGTCGAATAAGACCGTGATGTATGACTTCAAGTCTTGCATTTGATTCCTTTTAAGTACGTAGTTTTTTTGGGTCTCCCTAAAATTTAGAGAAACCAAACACCAAGAAAAATACAATCTAGCTACCCACTTGTTTGGGTGTAGGCTAATATATATATATATATACAATGATAATATATATATATATATGATGTAGGTCAAAACAGCGGTCAGCATACAGCTAGAACCCTGTTGGAGGTTACCCTAAGATGTGAAGACTGTGAAGATGATTCCAGTTATTGGATGATCAGGATAGGACTTTTTGGACCCAAGTTCAAAGCCTGTGCGCGTGGATGCCGAGCCAAACAATAGAATAGACAGTTGGACGAGGGTTTGTTTGAAGGTTTGTATGGAGCAAAGCGAGGCGTATAGTTTGGCGTATAGTATCTTATTTTGAAATGTATGCTCAACATTGTTCAACCAAAAGGCAACGAGGTCACGAAAATTGTACTGCAAATCAACGAGCAGTTGTGGTGTTCTCATGACGTGTTCAACAATGTGATGAACTGGTAGGGCGACGTGGAAGTACTGCAAGCAGAGATCACATTCCAGCTAATGTTAGGCACTTGGATGTTTGGTGTTTGCTTCCAGGTCGTCCCAGGCCGGCCGCACGGGCCGTTGGAAGAGAGTCGGCTCGATTGCAGACGTGGGTCGGTACCCTGGATCAAGCGGGTACTGTACCAAGCCCAACAACACCAGGTATTCCTTGTGTGCCAACATGTGCACAGATGGACAGATTCACTGTCATTTCAACACCACATCAATATATGACCGATTTGCAGAGCTGGTGCGGAGCTGGTGGCGTGGGATCAACGTAGGCGCCACGTGCATGACCTGTGGCCACGCTACAAGTCTCCCACGGCCGGAGACTTGCATGGTGCTTAGCTGCTTAGCTGGGACTCCCAGAAATCAAGGGAATTTTGTTACTAGTAGCTTCTTGCTACTAGTAGTACGGCCCAGGAGCCCCTAGTAGCGTCCTTGCTCCTAAAGTCTTCCAAAAATCCTTGACCTGAATTGTCCCAAGATGATCTTTTCCGCGAGAGAAGAATCACTGCAACATCTTGGATTAGATGCAGCTACCAAAGATGACAAAACTGGCGTTGCCCCACGTTCCCTACTTCATGGGAACCGCAAAGTGAACCGGACTTTTCATTCCGTTGACGTTCCCGCGCTGTGGTTTCGTGTTCCTTGGAGGCATTTCTGTGGCCAAAGAGGCGCGAACGGCCGCGGGGAGGAGGCGTCGGACGTGTGGTTGTGGTCGTTTGGAAGACCAGGACAAGACATCATCCAATGTAATTCTAGGATCACGGGGGGGTGGTCCCAGATTCAGAGGCTTGGATCGTAGTGACTTGGAGCACAGAAAAACATGATCAATATGTCGCGAGTGTTTCGAGGGGTGAGCGCCTTTGCCATTGGTGCACACTGTCAATAGGCTGCCCAGGCTCCATGGGCCCCAAGACGCGTTTGGAATGCGGAAGGGTCATGTATTTGTTGGCTGAATGGGCTATGTCTAGGAGAACCTGCGACAGGGGCATTTACACCACATCCCGGGTCCAATGCTGGCTGTTGCATCGGCACCCTGTCAGCTACAAAGCATCTACATCCAACTGCCTCCAGCCGACGTTTCACACCCAACAAGCATCAACAATCCATGGAACAAACAGGCCACATCCATCCACATCCTAGAATCCGGCTGTACTTGGTTCTGAGATTTACAACTAACTGGACATCCGGGAGACATACATACCGCATACCTCGTGGAAATTCCTTCTCCCCCCAAAAAAGCTGCGCCTGAGCTTGGTCGTGTTTTTGGTCCATTCCCGTGGCATCGCTTCACCGCTCCGACCCTGGCACGTGTTGGATGGAGCCCGATAGACTTAAAGCTCCGGAAGGTTCAGGAAGTCGAGGGCTACAGCGATGATGAGGACAGCATCCTCATAGAGCTGAACGAAAAACCGAGAAACGACCGTTTTACGCGTTGTCGGTAAGTCCAAAAAGCTTTAGAAATGCTGCTGTCCCAAACTGTCCCGCAGTGTCTGAGTGCATTTTCTTTTTCCTATCACCTGTTTCAATGCTTTCTCTTCTTTGACGTGTGCTCTCAGGGCTCTCCTTTGACTGTTTTATTTTCTCGTTGATCAGGAGTTCTATGATGTGAGCGAGGATGAAAGTACGACCCTCGAGACGGCCAATCTCGATGACTCTCATCACCGACGGTGGGACCGTGGTCGTCTCAAAAAGCTCCTTGAGGTTGTTGGGGAGGTCGTTTTGGCAATTGGCCGGAGCCCGTCTAATGGCATTTAATTTGCCTTGCCTTGTTTCAGGGAAGAGCTGTCAGGGAGCCACTTGGAAATATGCCCGAATATGCTCGCGACTGACGACAGGAGAGCGGTTCATGAATTGCCATCATCTTCGGCCCAAAAGATTACCATACTCAACTCAAATCAGGGCAACGGGATTGTACAAGCTCCATGATCATCAATCGAGTTGCTGCTGGGGCGGTCGTTGAACATTGGATGAAGGCCTTGAATGGGCGATGCGAACATCATCCAGTATAGTCGAGTGTTTTCCAACCGCACTGCATCTTCCAGCATAGTGCACACCTCATGATTTGAATACCCTTTTTTGTTTACTTTTGTTTCTCCTTTATAGCTTAGCTCAATCACACAGGCCAATACTTCATTTGATGTTGTGCGGTTGGGGGGAATAGGGGTGGTGCATCCCACCCGATTCCACCCAACAGTCCCACTGTTTGAGCTTTGCCCCGCTGGGGTGACTTCACTTCACCATCTTCACCTTCATCACTGATAACACTGATACTGAAATCCTGATGATTCACAAGCAAAGGTGTCAAACGGAAACATCGAACAATTCCTGTTTTGTCATACCATCTTGGGTCTCCATGCAGCTAACTTCTAGAGTTTTCCAGGCATAATGTGTTTTGACAAATATATAGATCATGAACCATGTTCAACGAAAGCCAGCTCCAAGACGTTTGCTCAAGTTCTTGTTAACAATACAGGCTAGAGGGGTAAGCATTCATAGATAGTGCAGGGTCGTCAGTGGCGATGGTCCTCGTAGACCAGCAAGTCTCTGAGAACTAGTAGCGATGCCAGGAGCCCCGATCGTAGCGTCCTTGCTCCTATTAGTAAGGCCAGGAGCCCCCAGTAGCTTCTTGCTCCTAGTGGTGGGTGAAATCACTGGTGAAATCGCCGGTCCTCATTGCTCTTCTC